TTGCAGATATTATACCAACCTTGCATCCCCTGAATAAATCCCACTTGGTCATGGTGTATGACCTTTCTAATGCAATGCTAGATCCAATTTACTAGAATTTTGTTGAGGATTTTAGCATCTATGTTCATCAGGGATATTGGCCTGTAATTTTCTTTCTTTGTAGTGTCTTTATCTGGTTTTGGGATTATGGTAATGCTGGCTTCATAGGAAAAGCTTAGACGTGTGCCTTCCTCTTGAATTTTTTGGAATAGTCTCATGAGGATATGTTTAAATTCTTTGAATGTTTGGTCAAACTCCCCTGTGAAGCCTATGGACCTTGACTTTTGTTTGCTGGAAGATTTTTGATTACTGTTTCAATTTCATCGGTAGTTATTTGCCTATTCAGGTTTTTTATATTCTTCTTGATTGAGTTTTGGAAGCTTCTATTTTTCTAAGAATATGTCCACTTCATCTAGGTTGTCCAGTTTTTTGGAGTAGAGTTGTTCATAGTATTTTTTTTACAATCCTTTGTATTTCTGTGGGTTCAGTTGTGGCTTCACCTCTTTCATTTCTGATTTTATTTATTAGGGTCCTCTCTCTTTGTTTCTTGGGAGCCTGGCTATAGTTTCATCAATCTTCTTTATTCTTTCAAAGAACTATCTCATGGTTTTATTGATTTTTTTGTATTGTTTTATTGATCTCTATGTCATTTCTTTTTGCTCTGATCGTTATTATTTCCTTCATTCTGCTTACTCTGGGCTTTTTGTTTCGCTCTCTTTTAATTCTTTAAGTTGTAGGGTTGTATATTTTATTACCATTTCTTCTTGTTTTTTGAGTTAGGCCTGCAGAGCTATGAACTTTCCTCTAAGGATTGTTTTCCCTGTGTCCCATAGATTTTGGATTGTTGTGTTTTCATTGTTATCTGTTACCAGGATGCTTTTTATTTCTTTTTTGATCTCTTTCATAACCCAATCATTGTTTAATAGCATGCTATTTAGCCTCCAAGTATTGGATTTTTTTCATTGTTCTTATTGTATTTGATTTCTAATTTTATGCCATTGTGATCTGAAAAGATGCTTGATATGATTTCTATCTTCTTGAATTTGAAGAGACTTTTCCTATGCGCCAATATGTGGTCTATCTTTGAAAATGTCCTGTGTGCAGCTTGGAAGAATGTCTATTCCGTGGCTTTCCGGTGAAATATTCTGAAGATGTCGATTAAGTCTATCTGATCTAGTGAGTCATTTAGGATTGCTGGTCCTTTCCTGATTTTTTGTTTAGCTGATTTATCCAGTGTTGTCAATGGGGTATTAAAGTCCCCTACTATGATTGTATTGCTGTCTATCACTCCCTTGATATCGTCCAGAAGTTTGTTCAAGTATTTGGGTGCTTCTGTATTGGGTGCATATATGTATACCAGAGTTATGTCCTCTTGTTGAATTGCTCCCTTTAGTATTATGAAGTGGTCCTCCTTATCTCTTCTTATGGCCTTTACTTTGAGGTCTGTTTTGTCAGTTATAAGTATTGCTACCCCAGCTTTTTTCTCATTTCCGTTTGCCCACAAAACTTGTTTCCATCCCTTCACTATGAGTCTGTGTGAGTCTTTTGTTCTGAAGTGGGCCTCTTGTAGACATAAAATATATGGGTCATGTTTTCTTATCCATTGAGCTACCCAAAATCTTTTGATTGGAACATTTAATCCATTTATGTTTAAGGTTATTATTGATAGGTACTTGTTTGTCACCATTTTTATTCTTTCTGCCTGTGTTCCTTCTTCCCTTTCTATTTCTTTTTTACACCAGTCCCTTTAGCATTTCTTGCATACTGGCTTGGTGGTAATAAATTCCCTTAGTCCTTTTTTGTCTGTGAAGCTCCTGACTTTACCTTCAATTGTGAATGATAGCATTTCTGGGTATAGTATTCTTGGATTCAGTCCCTTGCTTTGCATCACCTTGTATATTTCATTCCATTCTCTTCTGGCCTGATGTGTTTCTGTTGAGAAATCAGCTGATTGTCTAATTGGAGATCCCTTATAGGTAACTTTCTGTCTCTCCGGCAGCCTTTAAGATTCTTACTCTATTGCTCATGTTGGCCAATTTAATTATGATGTGCCTTGTTGTTGGTCTTTTGGGGTTCTCTTGATTGGACTCTGTGTGCTTCTTGGACTTGTGTGAGTTTTTTCTTCCCAAAATCAGGGAAGTCTTCTGTGTTATTTCTTCAAACAGGTTTTCTATTCCTTGCTCAGCTTCCTCTCCTTCTGGCCCCCCTATCATGTGGATGTTGTTTGGTGTTGTGTTATCTCAAAGCTCCCTTAGGGTGACCTACTGCTTTTTAAGTTTTTTTTTTTCCAGTTGTTGCTCTGCTTGGGTGTGTTTTTCTGCATTGTTTTCTAATTTGCTTTTGTGGTTCTCAGCTTCTTCTAGTGTACTGTTGATACTTTCAATTGTTTTCTTTATTGCAGCTATGTCATTCTCTAATTCCTCTTTCTTCTTCATTTCCTCTTGATTCTTTCACATATTGTTGAATTTGTCTTCCATCCTTTTCAGCATTCTTATAACCATTGCTCTGAATTCATTCTCTGACACATTGCTTGCTGCCATTTTGTTTATTATTTTTCTGGTGATTCCTCATTTTCTTTGGTATAGGGGTTGTTTCTTTGTGTCCCCATTTTATTGTTCATTTGTGGTTGTGTCTATGCATAAGATCAAACTTCTATGTCATCCAGATTTTTTTGAGTTTGTCTTATATAGTAGATGTTTTGTGGGACCCAGTGGTGCACTCTCTCAGGTCTTCTTGGCTTGGTATTCTAGCGAGGCCCCTGGATTGGGATATTTGAGTTCTCTTGGTGTACTTGAGTCTTGAGTTTTATTGTCACTTTCCTGAATGGAGTCCCCTCTCAGGATGTCTGACTATGTGGCTCACTCTCTACCATGTTGACCTAACTGCACACAATACAACTTGACAAGACACAACACAAAGGGAAAAAAAAACACAAATGTACCCATGACACTGATAACCCCAATAAAAGTGACCACTAGAGAAATAGAATTAGGAGAGAGAAAAGAGAGCAAAAATGATATTGAGAAAAAGGAAAAAAGGTAAAAGAGAAAAAGAAGAAAAAAGAAGGGGAATATATATATTATATATATA